ATAGAAAGTACTTAAAGTGTGCTAGTATGTTTCATGTGTTCATTTAGCCCACACAATGTGAGCAAATAGAAATGTATATATGAAAAATTGAAACGAGCCAATAAAATTTATTGTATTACATACCTACTTGACACCTTTACGGTATGTTACAGTGAGTTATTTCTGTGTATTTAATCATTTATTTTTATTCAGTCAGTTTTTTCTGACTTCCCTGAGATCTGAGCTCTTCCTGTGGGCTCTAAAAATGAATTTAGTTACCACATTATGTTTGTTACCACATTAAGCTGTTGCTTGTCACCCCCACTTCTCTCTGCGTTTGCTGAGAGTGTCAGTCTCCGCTTGCGGTCCGTGGGCAATTATCTTTCCCCACAGCCCACGCTGCTGAAATTGTGGTGACTTTTTCTCGACAGCCTCAGCATGCCAATCAACATGTCAGATTTGTTTTCTGAAACCCTGTTGTGCCGGAGGTGCTCTGAGTACTTGGTTGGTGGATGGAGTGCTGTGTGAAGGGAAGAGTTGCTTGCTGCCTATGCAATGTTAAAGCAATAAGCCATGAGAGGCTGAGTGTTACAGTGGTTTCACCACGGTTAAGGCACAACATACGGAACATATACAATAGACAACTTTCAGTAGGATATGGTTGCCAAGCAGCATAACAATTCTGTGCATATCTTCATAAAAATAATTGTTTTTTAATAACTTGACATATTAATTCAGAATTCAATATATGTGTGAAATAATATCTGTGAGTATATTGAGTATTTTACAATGGCTTCAAACGTGGTCAGTCAGATTTTAGCACCGAAACTAACTGTTCTATAAATTCTCCTAACCCGTGCATCCTAAAATGGAAGTGCAACCCACTTTACAGTAAAAGAAAGCAGTGTTTCCACTATGTTGTGAAGTCTGGATTACAAATCTCTGCGGAGGGCTTTTAATTTGAAACAACAGATACAGGAAGTGGAGAAACGTGGCGACACCCAACCTGGGCTACGTTTAGCCCGGACGAAGTGTGAACCTGCCACTGCTACTGAAAAAATCCTAGAGGAAACACTGGTAAGGAAAGGGTTAATTTAGTGAAAATAAGACAACCAGTGAAGCTCACCGTGTCACAAAATGCATTCTTGTGTGTTCTTGCATTCTTGCTTTCTTGTTTGATGTCATCTTCCACTGCCCAAGTTATATTTAGTATTCAAGAACGCAGGTACCAAGAGCGGTTAACGTACCCTGATGTGTTCTTGATCCGCCTCGAATAGTGAGAATACATCGCTTCATGACTTACCAACAAGAACGACCTTGAAGTCCCATAATTCTCTACGGCATAATCACACCTGGCACAGGATGCTGACCAACAGCTGTGCATCCGTTAATTCGCCTTTTTAAGTGAACAGTGTACTTAATTCTGCTGTGGGAAAAAAAAATGAGAAATTGATTTCAAGTCTTTCCTCATTTGGTATAAGTAATACCTAATATGAAAGCTAGTTCTGACATTTCGTCAAGATGAGGCTCCAATTAGATTAACAGCAACGTTACTCAAACGATAGCCCTAGGTAAGTTAGCAATGGCCGAGTGTTTTTACCATTATAGTTTACAACATTTCGCACCATCCATCAAAGTGAAATCAACTCATGACTCCATCCATTATTATTTTTTCTATAGGCAGGATTTGGGACAAATATATGATGAACTTAAATGATGAAGTTTTGCAGGCATCTGAGACATACATACTGAGGATTTGGACACTTGGAGGTTGGCTTCGGAGAAATGCTGAAGGAGAGTTTATAAAAAGTTTATATAAAGAACATGAAATGTTTACACTAATATATTGTAGCATCGTGGTGAAGATAAACCAAAGGGAAACATTGCACATGCAGGGAAATTTCCTTTTATTTAACAGGCAGCAACAGGGAAACCACACTTGTGGATCAAGCGGGGCAGGTCACCAATAGCCACACTACTTCTCCTCATAGTGAACACAACAAACACACTAATCCACCCCACAGGGCACAATAAAGCACAACCAGCACATAACACCTCTTAACTAGAGCAGCAACAACAACATTAAAGAGAGTAAATGTTCAGTTGCGGGAGCGTGGGTGGCTCCCGAGGGCCTCTCCGCATGGCTACTGTGCATGGCCATGCCTGCCCATAGCAGTGCGGCCTGTGTCAGGACACAATGTTTAGTGAATTATTTTCTGTGTGATTTTTGTTATTTGGGTTGTTCCTTGTATGTTTATCATTTTAGTCTTTTAGCCCTTTAATAATGTTTTAAACACCTTAAAATTAAGAGTAAAAAGGGAACTAAACAGCTGTGTTTTTGCATTAGTTTGTATCTGTCACAGAAAATTTGATAAGTGGCGTTATAGCAGTGTAACTCATCATCTTTCTCCTCAGCCTGGCTGTCCTCTGGATCAGTGCCTCAGCTCAGCAATGATGTTCGTAGCACTTTTACTCTCTCCATTTCTCCTGCTTTTACTCAGACTCTGCCACACCCTGCAGTTATTCATTTATTTGAAATCATTTTAATCACAGTGAAATCAGCTGGACTGCGGCACGGTAGTATACAACACATCTCAAACTCCTGTTCCTGCGTTCTTGTCAGGAACATTTTGTCTGCTTTTTACGTTCTTGGCATTGAGAAATACCCACAGCTCTCTTTTATTAAGTCAGAGTGCCACTTAGGCAAAATGTGTTTTTTCTATTTTACCCCCTTCCTTTGTTGTCCCCTCTCTCTCTCTCTCTCTCTCTCCCTCTCTCTCTCTCTCTCTCTCTCTCTCTCTCTCTCTCTGTCCCCCTGGTGAGTGAAACTGTAAGTTGGTTGATGATGTTGGCAGCTAACATAGTTGGAGCCAGTTTATGAATCCCAGTATGTTTAACAAAGTGTTTGTGTGTTGTAATAATCAGTATCAATACATTGATATTTCTTATGTTTTACAAGGCAGCAGACTGAGTTTTTATTTTTCCCTTCTGGTTCAGAAGTCGTGTAATCTTAATCTGGTGGTGAGTCGCTGTTAAGACGCTGTTGTTGCTGCATGCAGAGAGAGGATCCATGCTGAGTTATCTGAGGACCAGTGGATTTCTCACATTATTGCGTTGTTCTGACTGACCTTAGGTCTCCCCTGTTCATTGCTTTATATGAGCAGACGGAATATAATAACTCTGTACTTGTAAAATTGTAGACTACTGAAACAGCTTGCATGTATACAGAGATGCAGCACTTCGGGAGCAACCCAGATTTCAGCGTTGCTTAACTGCACCTGCTAAAACTAATAAAAAAGAAAGATCTGAACTTGAAATTAAAGGAATGTAGGAAAGTCCTATATTTGCTGGTTATAGAGTGGAGTTGGTATTTTTATGTTTTATTAAAAACCTTTACGTTATTTTAAAAACCTGAAGTGGCCGTGCACAGTGTTAACAATGTATTTTCGTTGCAGTCAGCTGAATTGCTTCCCCACTGCCCACTGCTGGCCACTTTGGGGGCGCATCTCTAAAACACATGCAGGTTGAGGTGCAAAGAGGGAAAGTGTGTGCAGAGCTGTAGGACAGTTCTGAGCCCCAAAGCTGCCTAATATTGTTTTTTAAACTTAAAAAAAAATGATGTCCAAAACTTTGAATACATTTTTTGTGTCTAATGTCAAATCTCCCACTTGGAGTGTGATGGGGCGTGACTGTGGGCGTGACACAATCAGTTACCGCTCCACACATCAACAGTCTGATTTGATGTCACTCAACTAATTTGCATAAAGTTTGTCCAGAAGGAGAGAGCAGAGAAATCAGCTTGTGCATTAGTGGCGGTTTGATGTGTCTCATGAGATTCTAAAACATCAAATAGTAAATCAGAATTTTTGTTAAGCTGTTTAGCTTCTCTCAAATGTTCCACTAAGTGTTCGCTCTCAGTTTTCAGTCTCAGTCTCAGAGATCAGTTCTACTTCAGTTCAGCTTCTGGTACTGGTTGGGAAAAAAACTTTTAAATGAGCCCAAGATCATGACTATATTAACTATATGTGGGACCAGCACTCATTTTACTTTGGGTGTGTCTTTTCAGGCAAAAATGGGGAGACATTTAAATGAACCATGAGATGCCTGAGTTCAGTACTCCACCAGAGAGTCTTGAAGAGGCTGCATGTTATCCCATTGTATCTTGTTTGGTATCAGCTAAATCTTCACAAACTTGCTGTTTTTGAGATAAAGGCTGAGGTGAGATAAATTATGAGATGACTTGGCCAGAAAGTTATGAAAGATGAAGAGTTTATCTTAAAGGGTAATTCCACTGCTTTTTTCAAAGATTTCTGCATAATTACACAATTAAGATGTAAAACAATACACTGAGAGTGGTTGATGTGAAATGCTCTGTTCTAGACAAACTCAGGAAGTCAGAATTCACAGTGGTGCCCATAGGAACCAGGTGTCTGAAGTTTCTAAAATCGCCATGAAGTGGTTACAGTACCCTGCCTGATGCCTGACATTTTTCATGATAGGTTTGAGTTGAAGTATTGGTCTAAAATGTATTTTTAAGAATCCATTAACAGTAGAGAAGGACATGCAGGGTGCTGTAAGGCAAAATAGAGATTTACCACTATTTTACCATCGTCAACATTACATATAAAAAGGTGGAAGACGTGTAGATTCACTGGTCAATTTGAACAGTAAATAAAATGTCCAGATTTGTGTTGTAGACATCATGACCCATGGTTCCTGTCACCACCACAGTAAAGAAAGAGTCAGTACGTTTTTCTACAGCAAACCATTTTACATCAAACCACTCTGAGTTACTCTGTTTACATCTGAATGATTTAATTATAAAGAGGTTGTGAAAAAATGGTGGAATTTCTCTTTGAAGGCAGGATGTTTTAGTCCATCACTAAAATTCCTGATGTAGTGCTGTGGGTTAGCAGGGTGTTGTGGAGTATGTTGGTCCTCGTTTAGCAATAATAGCCAGTATCCCTCAGTTTTGGCTTGTTTTGCTCATTATCTGAATTCACACTTTTGTCTCGTTTTAGGTAATCCTGCCACACCTGCTAATGTCACTGCAGCTTCCACTGTAAACCATTCTTCTGGAGCTCCTTCACCCCACAACCATGTGTCACCTCACTTCGCTCCTGCTAGCTCTATCCCTCACACTCTCCTCCAGCCGTGAGTATGCTTCATACTGTCTCTTGTTCTCTCCTCCCCCCCTGCTCCACTCTCTCGCTCCTTCCCTACTCCCCCTTCTCTGTTTATCACAGCACTGCGTGACTAGCGTGCTAGCTCTGGCTAATTGCATCCAGATTAGAATATTGCTGTCTCTTCGCATTACTCCACCAAGAGACGTTCCAGCTGATTAACAGCAGCAATTTCTTGTCCGGCCAGGAGAAAGCTGTGTTTACTGGGTTAGAGCCAGGACATCAGAGAACAAGCTAGACAGAGGGCACTGCCCAGACCTATCAGATACAGCTGCAGTGTATTAGCCCCTATCCGTTATTAAGATGGAACTGACATTTTTCTGCTGAGCTCAAAGTCTAATTTAGCGAAGGACAGTGTTGGAGTATGCGTGGCTATGTAGAATGCGTGTTTAGAATCTATAATGTGGCATTTATCAAGGATGACTAACCTTTAGAGAGATTTTGAGTGACAGAAAAAGGCATCATTTCCCTTTAAAATATGATGACTCACAATCGACCATGACTATGTTAATATCTATAGGTCAAGGTTAGCCGCTGACTGCTTGTGCTTCTGTTTTAAAAAAAATAATCTGCACAGCATCTGTGGTCCTGATTCAGAAACAGCACTGGATACAATGTTCACTTGCTGTGGAAGCAGACCATATAAATTATTAGGAAGAAAGATCTGTGGAGCTTTACCCAGCTTTAATCCATTAAGACATGATGAATATAAATACTTGTAAGGATGTGTAAAAAATTGATATGTGATTTAGCGCTAGTGTTATTCAATTCTGTAATTTGTACCAGTGAGACCACCCTTCGTTTGTTTTATTTGCAGTAAAAAAATTCCAACTGATTGACCAAGTTGTTCACTTATCAGCATCAGGAATAAAAGCAGAAAACAGATATTTAACAGAAAATTACACAGAATCCTCAACAACGAAATATAATATTAAACTTTTCAGCATTTAGTGTGTCCACCTTTTGCCTTTATTGCAACTTCCATTCTTTACAGGAGACTTGATTTTTTCAAAGAAATCTGAGGTCATATTTTTCTACACCTTCAAATCTGGTTGCATTTAATGATGTTAGTAAGAGTGGAGATTGATTTTCTCCTCTCTCTGAAAGATGAAAGCTTTAAGAACTGTTTATCTGATGTTGACAGTTTTGGTGGTCCAGAAGGTGTATTTATTTGTAGTACTGTATTTTTTTTCTCCTGTCTCCATATTTTCCTTTGACTTCTCCCATCTTGGAAGTAAATTATTTTAAATCTGTCTATATATCTTCTCAAAAATAACTCCTGAAGAGTTAATAACTTTTACAAATTAAATTAAATAAAGTGTATTTTCTGACATGTACACAGTGCTGTATGTAGTAGTATTTCATGGCCTTTAAAATGGCAATATAATATGATATTAATAACTTCAGCTGTTTTACAGTGTTTCAGCCCTACATTTTCTTTCCTTTCAGCTGCGGTTGTGTATGGTGATCCTTCTGGAATCTTTAGTGGTGAGTAGTATCAATATTTGACTTTATGACTGTTTATTGTATCTGAAATCCACAGGTTGTCAGCGTTGGTTACCAGCTGCACTGTGTTTAAGTGAGAGGAGTGTCCCAAAATGCAGTGTAAGAATATTCAGTGAGCAAAAAAATAGTCTCACAACAACATAGTTGAACTGTGATTGCTTATAAGGATGAAAATCTAAAGTGAATCTGCGGTTTTCATTTAAAAATCTGTTCAAATGTGAGAGGCGTCAACGAGAACGGTTCTTGTCTCTGTTATCCGTGATTCATTCACAGCAAACTCAGTTCTGACTGAGAGGCCATCTGCATTCAGCCAGGCTTTTGCATACAACCCTGCCTGAGTCTGAAAAGAGAGCATTACGGGGGGCGAAGGATTAAAGAGATAGCTACATGTCTCCTTGGCATGCAGTTCTGTCCTCTCATGTTTGCCATTTCCATTTTCAGACTCTCGCTCCCCCCACCTCCCCACTCCTCTATTTTACCATCAAAGCCTTGTGAGAGTCGCATGTTATTTGGCAGGCAGACATTTAGCATTTCTCATTGGGCCTTTGATCTTCTTTGTGCATTTGACTCTTGCTTTTATACACAATATTCAAACCCTGGGGAGCTAGCTTGTTAGGTGCTTTCTTGTGGCCTTTGTATTGCTTGTATCTTTGCACTCTTCTCCTGATTTAAAGTGACCTAGAATGATTTGGCTAGTTATTTTTAACTTCTACACACGTGTTCTCCTTGACAAGCTTGCATAAAGTGCAGTGCATAAATCATGGAAAGGAAGTCAGAGAAAGAGACTTGGACATTTAGACACAGAGCTAATGTAGAGGTAGCTCCAGGGCTTCATATCGCACTCTGTGGCAGCCTGACAGTCAGGGTCAGCGTCCTGCTCAGATTTAGTGTACGAAGATGAAATGTTAAGAACATGGAGTTTCATTTGGGAGTCATGCTCGCATTTTGTAATCATTTTTCACGTGTATACATTTTGTAGTTGATAATTACTGTCTTGTATATTTGTAGCTGTAAGTATAACAGGACATACTTTATTATGATTTGATTTTGATGAAAAGATACACTATATGGCCAAAAGTATGTGGACAATTACAGCTGACCATCACACGTATATGAGCTTCCAAAACCATAGGGGTTAATGTAAAGTTTCCTCCCCTTTGGTGCTATACAAGCCTCCACTCTTTTGGAATTACTTTCCACAAGATTTTACAGTGTGTCTGTGAGAATTTGTGAGGTGCTGATGTTCCATTCCACTTCTTCCCAAAGATGTTCAGTCGGGATGAAGTGAGGGCTTTGTGCAGAACACTGGAGCTCCTCCACACCAAACTGTTCAAACCATGTCCTTATGAACCTTGCTTTGTGCTTAGGGCCACATGCTGGAACAGAAAAAGGGCCTTCCCCAAACTGTTCCCACAAAGTTGGAAGCATATAGTTGTTTAAAGTGTCTTTGTATATGGTAACATGAACATTACCCTTCACTGGAACCAAGTTGCCCAGCCTACACTCTGAAGAACAGCCTCAGCCCATTATCTCTCCTCCACCAAACTTACTGCTGGCGCTATGCATTCTAATAGAAAGTGTTCTCTTGGCTTCTACCAAACCCAGATTGGTCCATCTGACTGCTGGATAATGAGACGCGATTCTTTGTTCTGCAGAACACATTCCCACTGCTCTGGAGTTCAGTGACTGGGTGCTTTACACCACTCCAGCTGACGCTTGGGATTGCACTTAGTGATCTTAGGCTTGTATGCAGCTGCTTGGCTGTGAAAACTCATGTCATGAAACTTCTGATGCACAGTTATTGTGCTGATGTTGCTTCCAGATGTGGTTTGAGTGATGTAACAGAGGCTAGGCGATTTTTATGCGCTACGAGCTTCAGCACTCGGCAGCCCCAAACTATGAATTTACTTGGTCTGCTACTTCATAGCTAAGCTGTTGTTGCTCCTAGATGCTTCCACTTCACAACAATAGCACTTACGTTGACTAGGGTAAATCTAGCAGAGCAGAAATGTCACAAACTGACTTTGACAGATTCTTTGACAGTGCCATGTTTAAAGTCACAGAGCTCTTCAGTTCGACCCGTTGGATTGCCACTGTTTGTCTATGGAGATTGCATGGTATTGTGCTTGATTTTAAACACCTGTTTGCAATAGGTGTGGCTAAAACACCCAAACTCATTAGGAGGGGTGTCCACATACTTTTGGCCATATAGTGCATTTTTGGCGATGTATAGTCTTACGCAGAGAGCAGATTTGAACCTGTCGATAATGCAGTTAATTACATAGCTATTTAGTTATGTCATTGCATAAATCATTATGTGATGCCGATTACGTATATATTAGAAAACAACAGCATTAGCCATTTAAATTATCCTTTATGCATCCACAGACTGTATCATAGTGTGTGCCTAGTGATAGTATTAAAATAGCAAGTCGTTTTGTGGCTAGAGCTGCGCAGAGTAGGCTTTTTTATCATTATCATAGTCGAAACATGGTCTCACAAAAGGCTGTCATATAATTCACTCAAAAGATGAGTGGCCTGTAAATGACAGATATTGCTGCTGTGTGCTATGAGAGCACGCTGATTATTCACTGATGTTATGATGAATACTCTGATGAGTCACAGGTATTCATACAGTCTGCCAACCATACATTTTTGTCAAAATCATGCTCTTTTTTTAACTATGTGACAGATATATGATGAATACACTTTTTATATCATAGTGGTAATATGGCAGCAAGTCCACTTTGTAATAAAATCTAACCCATCATTTAAGCAAATAGAAAGTAATGTGTGCAAAGTGTGTAATAAAAATTCTGAAACAACAGTTAACATCATAATTGCAAGCACATTTCTATGCACTGTAAAGCTGTTTAAAAAGCAGTGTGCATTCCCTGAACAGCTTTTTCTAAAAAAAAATATATTTAATTCCTTATAAGCTCCTTAAGATGATGCATAGTTTTTCGGATCACGTAGTACGTCTTTACATATTAATGTCACACGCAAGTCAAAAACAAAGGTCCTGCTTTATTTTTAGGCCTCAAATGCAAAATCAATATTGCACTGATGAAGATACGATGACAACAGAAGATAATTCACTCACGTCCATGAAGACACATCCTTCACCAAGTTTTGACAGTAAAAATGCAGCCCTAATGATATATTATGTATGCAGTGTATTAAATAACTTTTTATTAAAGAAGTTTTTTAAATACAGGATCATACTGTAGCCCCATCAGAATCAAGGTTTTTCCTCATGTGCTTCAGCCACTTTTGGCTTGAATAAGCACTATGGGTTCTGTAGCCTGAAGGCTTGGAACTGAGAAAGCCTAGCCTAAGCCTGGCTTTAGAGACTGTGGAAAAGTGATTAGAGCTGGTATGGATTGGCCTGTTTTTGGTAGCTATTGGTAGACAGTATTTAGAAAAATATTTTTATTTATTATTTATTATTTTATTTCATTATTTACTGTTGAGATAAACATGTACTGACATTTATTTCCTATTGGCTAATTCTCTGCACTTACTCCCTGGGGTCTTCAAATGGTGACATCACAACCTGTTGTCTTGAGAAGTGAATCCTGTGGTGATGATAAGTAAGACTTGCCAGAGACTAGATGATTGATGAAGTCTGCTCATATTCATACAGGCCCATTATCCTGATTGCTGTCTAATGGAGGACTGGCTTACATGCTCACTCTCCTCTTTCAGACTGAGCCAGTGAGGAACATTTGCATGCAGAATCATGTTGTGATGCTTAGGGCAGCATAAGCCGAAACATATCTTCCATTTCTCAAGAATAAGACGCTGATAAGCCACTAATTAGCAAGAATGCATTCATTTTGAAATCTAAATCAGAGTGCATCCCGACCTCTTATCTTCATATTCCGCAGCGTGTTCCATATTACCAGCAAGTATGTGTGCAGCTGAGCTTCTGTGCTCACTCAAAGATGACTCCTTTTGCTCATTAAGTAAAAGTCATGTAGCTTAGCTTTAAAGCATTCCACTCACGCAGTCTGCTGGCAGATGATAGGAGCAGAAGTCATCCTTCATTTCAGGCTGTGCTGCATGTCATCATGCAATCCATGACTAACTTTAACACCTGTCTTTCAAACTTACTGCCCTCAAGTGTTGGTGAGTGCAAGTGTTGGTTGAGGGATGTCTTCACTTATATTCTATCAAAGTTTAATTTAATTAATATAATAAAGTGACAAGCAGATCTTTAACCAGGACTGAAATTTTGGTCTGAAGCTAAATACACCCCCAAAAAACCCAGCACCTGATAAAGTTGTCTGTGCCTGATTCAAACTGGCCACTCATTACCCAAAGTGTTAAATAAATCCTGGATAGCTCTGGTTGAACTACCGCATAGCACCAGTGTTAACCATCATTAGATCACAGACAAATAAAATTAAAAATAACATAATATGATTAGTGAAATAGTAGCTGTCCAGAATAAAATACCACTTTAACGAATGTATGAATCAAATAATACTTTTTAACAGCATCCCAAACATTTCTTGTCTGGAAAAACTTCCTGTACTGATCCTGAAACTGTATTTCTTTACACAGAACTTGTTACATATTGAACATATAAAAATATATCCTTTCGGCGGCACTAAATTGTACTGTACCAAACCCATTTACTGTTTTCCTTGGACCTTGGTGCTAAATTCAGTCAACAACGCTAGTGTGTGACTCTATACATCCATCTTCTAAGCTGCTTATCCTTGTGGGTTCAGCAGGGTGCTGGAGCCTATCCCAGTGTTCATTGGACGGAAGGCATAAAACACCCTGGACAGGTTGCCAGTCCATCACAGGGTGATGGACATGCAGACATACACACTAACACCCAGGGGCAACTTAGTTTCTGCAGTTGTCCTGACTGCATGTCTTTTGACTGTGGGTGAAAACTGGAGCACCTGGACAACATGCAAACTCCACACAGAAAAGACTCTAGTTACTTGTTTAGTGAATCAAACCCA